CTTAATTAAATTCCATTCAAGAAATATAAAAATAAAAGTAAATACTTGAACAGAATTAAACAACACCAAAAAAGAGGAGAGTTTTTTTTTTTTTTTTTTTTTTTTTTTCTGGTCTTGAATTTCATTAGATTATTAATAATAAATTAATAGTAGATGGCTTAATGGAATTAGCTAGAATTGATTAGAAGTGGAATCTATTATACTCTTAGACAAGGCCCAAAAGAGTACATAACTCACTGCCAAAACAAACAAAGCCCAACAACAAAAAAGGCGCAACAGACAAGCAAAAAATAAAGCAAGAAAACCTTAGTCACCACGAGTCATTCTATAGCGAGGGCCTTAACCATTGAATCAAATTAACTAATTTAATCTAACGGTTAACTAATTTGATCTAACGATTAAGAAATAAGGCCTCATCTAAGGGCCTTAGATAAGACCATCCGTAGAATTCTTGTTGTTAGGATAAGCAAGGGGAAGCACCCAATTGCCCCTTTTTTTTATTTGAGCTTTTGTTTGAAGTCCTAGTCTTGGATTTGTCATTTGTCATTTTGTTAGATGAATAATTTCTTGTTTTTCTTATTGAAGAAATGATAATCACACTAAGGGCCCATTTGTTATTCTAGTTAGATCCAATTTTATAAACTCAAAAACATATTTTAAGTCCAAAGCCCAAAAAATCCTTTTGATAAGCATATTTTTAACCCAAACCCAAAAAAAAAAAAAAAAAAAAAAAAAAACACACAAATATATTGAAACCAAAAAAAGTGAGGTTTTACACACACACACACTCTCTCTCTCTCTCTCTCTGTGTTAGGTTATGTTTAGCTAAGGCTTTTAGCTTCCTTTGACAACTTTGTAATTGCACATGTAATTCATCAAGCTCTAAGTTAATTAGACTAGGATAGTCTAGTTTCATATGATTATTGTGGTTGAAATCAACAGTGGCACGATGCAATCAAGTTCTTCAAAGGCAAATCATGCATTGCATATATATTAGGACATATCGAGTCAATGTGATGACTAGTAATTCGTTATTGCCAATTCACTGCTAGCTCATTCAATTTCTCATGTGTTACCAACTATAGGTTTTCTGTCCTAATGACTTTTTTGTCTTATTATGAAGTCAATGAGTGGCTGCCAGTTGGGGGAATTTAGGGTAGATTTCTTTTTGGGTAAAATTGGAGGATACAACACTGTAGCCGTCACTTTGACAAAAATAGAGAATTTTGAGAGCCTTTCTTCTCTGCTTTTCTTCCTTCTCAGTGAAGTCTGGGTTTTCATTATGAGATTTTGAAAAATGGTTTTTAATATATGCTTTGATATTTGAAATCCTCTTCACTCATTCATTCATCATTTTGGGGAGAGAGAAAGAGAGTCATCTTATTTTTCTCCTCTGCAAATGGTGAGATGAGTGAGATATGAGGTTTTCAAAATGAGATTTTCAAATTGTTTTTGAAATTTGCTTTGTTATTCAAAATCTGCATCTAGGATAGTTAAACACATTCTCATTCATATCTAGATCAGATTCTTGGATTAATTTCTTCAAGAATGGTTTCTTGAAGAAATCGATCTTATATTCATTGAATCTACATATTCATCGATCTGTCAATCCGAAGCTGAGTTGCGGTGCCATGGGGTGAAGGAGCTGATAGACTAGCTGCCATTTCCATGAAGGATAATCTACTAGCTCAACTAAGTTTGGAGAAGAAGGTTGCACATGGAGGTAGTGCTTATTTCCTAAATAGACCTAGGATTGCTTGAGCTTGTGATTATTTTTTCTGTAAGAACCTTCTTAACTTAGTGGATTACCTAGTTGGAGTGATGAACCCCAGTTTTTCCCAATGGTGGGTTTCTGGGTAAACATTTCTGGTGTGATTCTCTGATTTATATGCCTAGTCATACTGTTTGTGTTATATCTAAAATGTTGATGAATGTTCACACACCTATCACTCTAGTTGTTGTTAGCACAGGGGATGTCTAGATTGACGGGTCCTTCTGAGTGCCTAGGTTGTCATGTAGTTATCTTCTAGGCTTGCAGGGATTTGAATATTTGATATGTTGTGCATCTGTGTTATGCTTATATGTTCATAGGTCTATGACTAGTTATTCACTAGTCATATTGTCTCCATGTTTATTTGATCATTATTGTCATACATCTGTCCATTAGGGTTTTAATTTACTCCTTCACTTAAGTACCAATTACACTCTCTCATGGCACCCGATCTAGTTTGTCTTCGAGAATCAATAACCACCAAAACCACTCTATTTATTTTCCTTTTAAGTTATGAAAATTAATTTTCAAACGAACAAGATATTAGCTGGTTTGGAGACTGAAGAGCTGAGTGGGAAACCTTTTTATAGCTGAGCTTGTCACAAGGATAGGGACACCATTTGAATGCAGGGGATGCACGCAACGCAGGCACTACTGAGTTTATCTTTGCAGCCTCTTTCTATATTAAAAGTCAAGTCCTTACTCCATTCTTCTCCATTGTTCCTTTATCACAAGTCAAGTCCAAGCAGTGCTGTGGAGGAGCAAAAAAACTTACATGTAACAAGGATAGCACTGTTTTGCTATCCTCATCCAATAACACAATGACATGTGGAAAAGTTATTATACATGTCATTGCGTTATTGGCTGAGGATAGCAAAAAGTGTTATCCTCATTACATAAAAGTTTCTCTCATGGAGGAGGGGCTAAGTGCACCTCAACCTACACTAAAGGTAACTACTTGCCATTTAGTCCACAAGCTTGCTATTTTGAGCCCTACTCTTCTTTGTTTTGCATTAATATATAATTTATGCAAAGGTGGAACCAGAAATTTTTCGACATGTGGGTTAGCTTAAAAATCTAGTGATTTTGTTAACTTACAATTTTTATATTGTTTCATAGAAATAAGAGTACATTAAATTATATTTACCACGCTAGTTCATAGCTCTATGAACTAATTTCCAATAAGCTTTAATATAAAACATATACATATTAATGGCTAAAAACCACTAGATTCATGCCCAATAAGACCATTAGGAAATTTAATGATAAAGTGAACCAGTGCCATAGAGACAATCTTGCTCAAAAAATTTAGCCTATTTCCATCTCCATGTCTTGTTTCTCCACCCATCTTATCTTCAAATTTTGAAGGCAAATTTATCCCTTTATAAAATGACTTCTAAGAACTTAGAACAAAAAACCTCAACTCAAGTAATCCACCTACTCTACTCCCCTGATTTTTAATGTCTCCTAGAAATGCATAAACTAACCTCCACCATTCTGAGCAATCCCAGCTCATCCTTGAAAAGTGATTCAAGATAGCCACCAAGCGCATTGCGGAACATGCCATTACATCTTCATCCCAATAGTCAATAGTGGCAGTCACATTATTGCATCCAATCAGCATTGACCATATCGTCGAAACTCGGCATCTCATGATATTTGAGATTTCAAATCTCATATAGAATCCAAACAAGGATAAGGTATATACATCTTCAACTTAACTCACAGGACCAGTATTGAATAACTCCCCATTTACAAAATCCAATGCATTTAACAAAGTCTTGTAAGGTTTTTCACCCATCTTACTATCCCCTTTCCTGAAATCGATCCTCTAGAAGATCAAACGCCTTAGCACCCTTCCCATCCCGACACAAATTTACCTCTTCATAACTCAACTACTAATGATTAGCAAAGAGAATTTGCTTAAATTAATAATTAAAGGATATTTTAGGAATAATGATGGATAGAAAGATAGGATTGTGTTTTTTAAAATTAACATAGTGGGTGAAAAGATAAGGTGAGTGGGGAAATAAGACAGGGGTGGAAATAGCGGCACACAATATTATTTATTATGTAATGAACCAATAATAGAAGCTGATGAAAATCTGAAAGTAGAGCATTGATGGCCACCATTGCAAACAGCCAACACTTGTCTTCCTCTGGTTTCGTTCTTATCTTTTGTTAATGGTGAATATCCATACCACAATACATTACCCTACCAGCTTGCAGCTTGGTTTTTGCAATCACTTCAATTGGTAATGGCAAATTTAAACTCGTCCCACATAATTCCAATACTAATTCACTGTTCGGATCAAACAATCCCACTTCCCCTGTTTCACTTCTTCCACTTGGCTATATAACTTACCAACTGTAAGAGTAAAAATGTGGAGGAGGCTTGACTTTGTATCAAGCCGAACTTGAGTAGCAGGTATGCAGTAATCTGAATCCAGACATGACATATCTCAGCCTGCTGCTAGATTTATTTCTTCTTTCTGTGTGATAGGTAAATATTCCCTTCTTTCTCATCAACTTGTTCATTTTTTTCTAATCCCATAGTATATACTCAGATCAGCAACTGAAGTTTCCGTGATTTCCGAATTAGATATACAAATCTTAAAACCATAGTATACAATGACATTCTCACATTTAACTGCTGCATCTATGAATGAACATAAAATTCCAAAACATTAGAGAATCAAACTGCATTTGATAAGAACAAATGCTTCACGTCATAAACGAAAAGTAATTGGCATCATTGTACATGAGAAATGATCTGAACAAATACAACAAAGATGGAGATGTGGCCCTATATATACACCATTTCAACCACTTATCTACTGCTAAGACCATCAAAGAATGATGGCAACTAGACACAAGAATATAGTAACCTCACACTGAGAACATTAGCAGTGATAACTGCCCCTGTATACTAAGACCTAAAGCACATTAAGTTTCAAAACAAAAACAAAATCTGCTAAGTCAAAGTAAAGTTATCACCAGAAGATGATAAAAGTCATATGGTAGGTAATATCACCAGATGATGATAAGAGTCATATGGTAGGCAATATCACCAGAGGATGATAACCGTCTAACTGAGTATCGAAACGGTATCACCAGAAGGTGATAAGTCTCACTGAGGGTCAGAAATGTATCACCAGAAGGTGATAAGCCTCAACTGCGCTAAACCTTGTCCAATCTCCTATGTTCCAATGCTAATGTTGCTGCTCCCTCATCGCATTGACATCAAAGTTCGAACTCTTTTCTCCCTCTCAGCCTTCTTAGCACTGGGGGTCCTCTTCAGCCTCTGAAGTTCTTCCATCACCACTTTCTCAACTGTGTCAATTGAGTTCAATAGTTTCTTCTGTGGTGTAAGAAATTCTCCTTCAGCAGTCTGAGTATTAGTGGCCTCCCTTATAATTTTCTGCACTCTACCAACGGAAGGAGGTGGGCATTGCTTGGTTCGAACAGCTGAATATGGAGTAACAGGAACACCATGCTCAAGTTGAGCACCTGGCACTAGCAGATATTGATCAAGTATATTCCGGCCCTGTGGAACTTGACCCTCAGTGTGTTGGCCATCGTTCTCAACCAAGCGTGCTCTTCTCCTTTCAATGGCCTGCTTAGAAGTATTAAATTGGGCAATTGAAGTATGGAAAGAGATATTCATATTGTATAACAAGTATGAGCTAATCAATGCATTATGCCACAACTAGTATACAAAGTACATACAATAGAATAAATGTGCATACTATTAAGGCCAAAAAAGCTAAACCAACACACAATTAACGCTAAACTACCTGTTTGCCAGGAGAACTGGGACCTCAGATTCCTCATAATAAAAATAAAAATAAAAAAACTACTCAACTAAATTTTTATACAACTTCTTACTATACACCAAACACATACACATGTGTTTTTCATCTTTATAAATTCTAAACCGCATGACAACAAGACATTAATGCAGTCCAAGAGAACACAACAAATCAAGATTTAGGGAGACATGCGCTCAACACATTAATTGCTACAGAAAAAGAATCAATCAAACCCAGACCAAATTGCAATAAAATTAATACGTCAATTACTACAAACAAAGAAAAAGTGAAACCCATATGATATATCAATCAACCACCAAAAGGGTTACTTCAAATTAATCAAACAGACATGAAATTAACTCAATTAAATTAAACCAAGTTAAACTAAGAGCCATTCAATAAACCAACCAAGAAACGGGTCACTGCAAACTAATCAAACAGACATGAAATGAACTCAATCAAATCAAACCAATCAAACTAAGGCCATAAACAACCGTCAGATTAACGCAATTAAATCCATCGCTCAATTAACTAAACAAGCAACACGGAAAGACAAAGGGTCAAGAAAGTGACTCTTACCCTCACAACAGCACTGATATCCTGGAGAGGGGTTCTTGGGTACCAAGAAGGTAACACGCTGTTACTGGATCTGCCCCTTCTCCGGCGAGAACTCCCGGCCGGCGGCGTGTTCTCTCTGGCCGGTGTCGTAAACCCAAATGGGATCCGACCACGCCCATTTCCGGTCCTCGGAGTCCTCAAACTGCTCCTCAGGAGCCCTCCACCACCAACAACTCCGGTGGCCCCAAACCCTAATGCTGTTGGGGCTCTCTGTCTCGCTGGCGTTCTCGACAAGTCTGGAACAACCTGAAGAACCTGCTCTGGCGGATCTATGTAAATACTGCGATTGCGCGATAGCCATTGAGCATAGGTGTCTGCGAGATCAACAGGCGGCCTTGAGAGTCTATCTCTTGCTTCAGCCATTTCACGACACAAACTGAAAAGGCAAAAGGAAATTTAGATCAAACAGAAAATCAAAGGGAACTGTCGCAAGAAAACGCGACGAGTTCCTGAATCAGATCTAAACAGTTAAAGAGATTTCACAACGGAAAAGAGAGCAGAGCTCTCAGTTCCCCAGAAAATGCAAAATTTTCGGAGGCAAACTACTATCAGAACTTCTACTATCAGGGGTAACCATATCAAGAAACCCCGAAATTTTACCGACCCAGATGACATTTCAATCGGAAATGATAATCTTAGGGGCGATCGAGATGCTTCATTTTAGCATACAAATCGACCTAAGAGAAGAAACCCCGACGGCCATTGATTTACCTGGAAGAGAATTAGGGTTTTGGAGCGTTTTCGTTTGACAGCGTAAAGTGGGGGGGGTCTCTGAAAGTAGAAGAAGAGGACGCTTGGATTTGTGAGAGAGCGAATGGGCAAATTTTCAAACTGGAAAAATGGGCGGTCTTGTAGACGCCCAAACCCCAACCCCAAATTTTCGCACGTGTCGGGAAATTTCGCACGTGTTTGGCATTTTATCTTTTTCTTCTTCTTAGCGGGATCCAAATTTCGAATTGTGTTTGTCCAATAAATTTCAAATTTTCTTAATGAGCGGGATAAACAAGCCAAGTTTGTTTTTAGATTTTGGATCTCCAAGCTATTTTCTCATAACTAGATTTCAAAGTTTAAATAAATTGTTAGATTAGGGAATAATTGATTTTCTCGACTATGATCAACGCTTCTTTTGAAAGCCGTCAATTTTGAATTCGAGTAAACACAATTGTTTAGCTGTACAGTCTAGGCTCTCTAACCCTATTGTAAAAACCTACCGAGTTTTGGTTTCATATCTCACGAACGAGACTTTGTTGTATAGTTAATTAAATTAAAATAAGCATCATATTAATTTATGAAACAAAAAATTGCAAATTGTAATCATACTATGCCTTTCGAATGAGAACATAAATGAAACAATAAAAAAAACTCCTGAATGCTGCGCTTGAAGTGACCAAAATCCAAATCATACATCAATTCTGAGAAACTTTGTACAAAAGATTCTATATTCTAAAAAGTAGAACAAACAGCTTCCAATTCCATATACTAATATGGAGGCTGTTTTCTGGAAATTAAGCCTCAAAAAAATTGAAAGTAAAAGTTTGATAAAATTAGGAGGAAAAGCAGCAGCCCCCCTTCCTGGAGGCATCCGACTCTGGACTAGGAACGATAATCGCAGTTCCCTTTAGAAACCCTGAATCTCCACCATCTTGAGCATTGGAAGCAAGGGTCTTCTTGCTCATTATCCGGTATATCTCCATTAAAATCATCAAGAAGGCGGTTTCGACATTGGTGGCTTCAAGAGCAGATGTCTCCATAAAAAATAGGTTCTCTCTTTGAGCAAACTCCTGTGCATCTTCAGTTGGCACTGCTCGGAGACTTCCCAAGTCGCATTTGTTGCCGATGAGCATAATGACAATGTTCTTATCAGCATGGCCCCTTAATTCCTCCAACCACCTAGCCATGTGATCAAATGATTGGCGCTTTGTCATGTCATAAACCAGCATTGCTCCAACTGCGCCTCGGTAGTATGCACTCGTGACAGCTCTGTACCTGAAGAGATAATCAAGGGGATGAGTTCTAGAGGCCATAAATTATAATCAAAGACGGAAAGCTAACAGTTTGGAAGGGAAAAAAATAAAACCAAATTGCACTCTTTGTATTTTGGCTAACAACAAATGTTACAGAGATTTCTTGCAATTACTCAGTCCAAGCTGTCACTTATTAGGACACTTTGAGGTTTCACAATTCTATGTTTCCCAAAAGGAAACCAAAAAGAGTCTAAAAGTTCTACATTTCATATAAAAGCAGCTTCATTCACAAATTCTAATTTTCACAGAATCACAAAGTATATTGATAATATCCATTTGAAGCTGTCACATAAAAGATTCTTCTTCAAAGACGATAAGCGCTTCCCATGTCCATGAAGTACACCTACATTGGAAACCACTGAGACCAGATTGTAGCAAGAAATGGATCCTAAATAAGCAATCAATGAGATGTAACCCGGTGAGATCTCATTCTGTCCACACAATGCATTAGTAGAGTCCCTAGCAAGTAACAACCTAGATCGAAATTAAGATTTGTTTTCGGTGTGCAAATTTCCAAAATATCAGTCATTCATCTTTAATTAAGTCAGAAGGAAATGGATGCTGGGTGAAGGAAAGGTGATCAAGAAAGATGTGTGGACGAATCAACAGCGAAGAGATAATAAGGGGACAGAATTCAGATGTGTTTGGAGGGTTGTACATGAAGGTGAAGATGGAAGAGCAAATGCAGCTCCTGAGGTGGCAGACCTCTGTCTACACCACCATTTGTGAGCAGCTTGATGAGATGCATAAGACTGATAAAGAGGATCTTGCTGGCTGGAATGAGGTGGGGAAGTTATATTGCAATCCGTCAATGGCATCTGGTGGCCACAAGATAAATTCAAGGTAGCACAGCAGAGAACCCCAACAACTGTGCAACTTCAAATCCTAAAAAACTGTATTTCATCTCAAATTTCTGAACTCACATATGATGCCTTCAAGTTAAACACCTGTTTTGTGTCTCTACATCATTGCTGTGTGTAACCTTTGTTTTGTGTCTCTACATCATTGCTGTGTGCAACCTTAAATGCAGCACCATTCTATTTCATATGCTTTCGAAACCAGACATTAGATCCAATCCTTGAAATCTGCTCATCCTGCAGCACCTTCTGTTTTATTGATTGGTAAACATTTTTGTTTAAGAACAAATGGAACAGCAATTCCAAAACAAACACAAGTGGAGCCCTCCAACTAGAAATGCAGATCCTTTATTGTTACCATCCATTTAATGGGTATGCCTTGTGCAACAAGATATCCTAGATGATCTACAAATAATAATTAAGCAAAATTTTCATCATTTTCCAAAAATGAAACAAGAAAAGTTATTGGAGACAATGGTGCACCTTTCTTGGCCAGCAGTGTCCCAAATCTGAGCCTTCACCGTCTTGTGATCGAGAACAAGAGTTTTCGTCTGAAATTCGACCCCAATTGTGGCTTTCGAGTCCACACTGAATTCATTTCTAGCAAAGCGCGCGAGCAGCTGTGTCTTTCCAACTGCCGAGTCTCCAATTAACACCACTTTGAACACATAATCAATTTTCTGATTGTAATCTCCGTACAAATTCGACATCCTCACCGCGATCAAACCACACCAGAATGCTTCTCAAACCCACAATTTGGAACATAAAAAACAATATGAAACAATGCTGAATTTTTCAGATCAACCATGTGGGTACATTTTGTTGGACATGAAAAACTTGTGCTGCAGCAGAGCAGGAATTGGGGTATGTTTGGAGAATTACTGAAACAGAGAGGGAGAGAATGGGAAATGTGGTAAAATTAGGGTTTGAAAGGAAGAGGAGAGTTTGTTAGGAGCTGGACATGGTGGTTTGGTCATTTGTGGAGAAGGGGAGGGAGAGAGGAGTTAGAGGCGGGGAAACCATCGGCTAGTACGGGTCCCATTAACGGTTTTTCAAGTTCACTGTGAGAGTAGTTTTGAGTGTACTTGCCGGTACAACAGTTTTGGTACAAGTGGTGAGATCTGGATCGTCTATTTGATAGGTAGGGCCCGTAAAAAATCTCATCATTCTCTACATGACGACCACCAATAATAGTCACATTATTCTACTTTGAACTTCACTTTGTAACGCAGACATCATGTCACATGCTACATAAATTGATATAGAAATTTATGTGATTAAGTTGATGTCCGTAGTATTATTGAAAAAAAAATGTTGGAAGTGATTGAGTATTTTATAGCTAAAAGTTTGGGAAATAATAAAAGTCAGTATCTTCCAACACAAACTACATTTCCTTTCACAGTGCTCACGAGCCTCCCTAGTATTCATGGTCCATGGTCTACGCATTGCAAGGCCTCCTACGTCCTCTTCAATTATAAAACCCCCAAAATACGAGAAAAATTTGATTGTAACGGAAATAGCACTATTTTATTATTATTTTTCAATAAAATTATGTCATGTGAAAAAATTATTATACGTGTTACATCGTTACTAACTAGGAATAGAAAAACAGTATTATTTCGGTTTCATAATAGGTCAGCAGAGTCTGCCAGCTAAAGGCATAGGCAGGACCATTCTTTTTCTGAAGAAACCTAGCTACACAGAAATAAAACCATCCCTTTTTATATTCCAAAAAAGGACAAACAAGATGGTGAGATCATGGGCTTTGATACTGCGATTTTGTTTTGCTGGCTGCTAAATATTTAGTGCTGAGTTTACCTTTTGAAAACAGGATAAGGTTCAGCAGCAAAAGCAAAGAAAAATATCTGTGACCAAAAAAGAAAAAACTACGAAGAAAAAAAAAGGCTTCAGATCGTAAATATGTGGTTGGCATCAATAATTAAAGGTATCCACGATCATATAGATGCCTTGAGCATTCAAAGATCTTGCACAGGAAACCAATTTATTACCATAAACTAATTTTTCTTCACCACATTGATTGTGCTAAACTTTGTTTTTTCCTTTTGCCGGATAAGTTGGATAATCAATTCTTCGATGTATTTCTTGTTGGAAGTATTAAAACAAAGCAAGCAACTAACGTCAGCCTGAAGTAGAAATGTCGATGTTCTGTCTGCCTCACTAAAATAGAAGATGCCAGCGGAATTTAGCCCAGTGGAAAAGAACTTGCAGTCTTGTGGTCTCAAGTTCAAATCCACATGGCACTTTGGTAGTGGATGTGTGAGAAAACTCATTTTCCCGTTATAGTTTAAACTATCACTTGTATTCAAAATAAAAGACACACAATAGAAAATGATAAATTTAAAGGACTGGATTATTAGAACATGTCCTGTACTTTCTTTTATGTTTATTTCATATACTGTGTAATTGGGAATCAAAAGCTTGCTAGCTTACAAGGCCTGGTCCCCTCTCCATGTTGTGGTGGAAAATCTACCAACCTTCTACATCAAACCCACTAAAAACTACAATACCTTGTAGCTTCCTTTCTATCTCTTTTTTACTTTCTACTTGATGTCCACTGCTTAAAAAGAAAATATTATGTGGTTTCAATCCACTTCCCCCCCATCACTCTCCTGGTTTCCTGTACAGAAAAGCACATCAAACAATATGATTCGAAACCGGCTTCTTCTGCATGTTTAAACACTTGCAGTTCGCTCGAACGTCGCTAAGAGTCTGCAAAAGAATAAACGTCGTTTGTGATTAAAAACTGATGCTTGTCCACGATGCAGACACTCTTAATTTATGTTCTCTCATACCTTGAACTGCTTCTGAAGGTCTTTAATATACTCAACAGCCAAATCTAACATGTCTGCTGTGTTGGTTTGCTGCCAAGAAATTTATAAATAAAAAAAATGAAATGCCATGAGTTTCCAAGGATAAGTAGACAATAGATCTGAGGGTAAAATGCTTGTATCAAATTCTACCTTGTCCATGTTTGGGACAAGCTCTTGTAGTTTCCTCATTCGTTCACTGATCCGTGTTCTTCTAACCTGTAAATAAATTACCCCATAACTGTCATCTTTAAATTCATGGGTTCATTCAGTAAATAGAGAATGTTCTTTTTTGGACCAAAGACCACGAAGAAAAATCAAAATTTTAAGTGATATGGTGAACATACCAAGTTACTATGTATGCAAAAAATATTTTTCTCACTAACAAAAGATTTTAACTGGCTATGGATATAGGAAAATATTTACTCTTTCTGCAATGCTTCGGGGATGAGTGGCACATCCTCGCTTTGCTCTAACTTTACAAGGCACAGAATCTTGGAGTTGCAAGAACTTTTCCATGGCAATTTCTGCTGAAGTTTTTGGTAAACTCAGGTGGTGGGATAGTAAATGAATCCGGTTTTCAAGCTCTCCATTCTAAGCATGAAAATTATTCAGAATGAGTTAAATATGCATAAAATTTTTTGAGGAAATTCAACCACAAACACAAATTAGTACCTGAGGAACAGAAAATAACTTCCCGTCATTATCTTGGTCTCTTCGCATGCCAACTAAATTTTCAGCAAAATTTGATGAATCATTCCAAGTTCCGAACTGGAATCCTGTACCATAAAATCGAGTATCAGCATTGCAATCTCCAAGCTGTCTGTGCATGGACTTGGTTCTCCATTAGTACCATTCAGTCCATCGTTTCCTGTACCTTTAATGGTGGCATAGCCTGAACTTTTCTTTTAAGATACTCAATTATTTAATGTACCTTGCTAATTGTTATCTATCAGCTGTTAATTAGGACTAATTTTCCCAATACTATGAGTATCCTAGAGAAGTGTTGTCCATAATAGTACATCTTCTGATTAAAGCCATTTCCTCAACTCCGTTAGCCCACTTCGAAGTTGAACTCACAACCGATTATTTCCCATAAGATTAACCACAGGGATGCTAAATTTTCAGCACAAAAAGTGTGTTAAAGAATGTAAAGTCCGCGGGTCCGTCTCTCTGAAATCTTAACAAGATGAGGCTAATGCACTCTGCCTAGTAGAGGTTATTATCACTCCTCCAAATTATATCCAATCTCTTATTCTTTTTGTTTCTCGTTTGTTAATATCTTCTCTCAACTCAACGTTCCCAAATCAAAGTTCATTACCTATAACCTAATACTAAAATGGAAATCTTTAAACAACTCAAATTACGCAATGACATGGAATCATAAGCTAGTGAGAGAGAGCATAAAAAAGATTACCATTTTGAACAGAGCTGTTAGAGAAAAGCCCAGCAGGGGAGCTACTTTGTCGAACAAGATTCGAGTGAACGGCCTTGGGTTGAGTGTGATGATTCATTGCAGCCGAACCCACCAACCCATACGAGCCATTGAACGAGCTCTGTCTCGGATAATGAGGAGGGAGCCCAGAATAGCCCTGCTGCTGTGAGCTCATACGGCTTTCCTTCGCCGCCGCCTCCGTCGCCGTCACCGTAGACTTGTCGTCCAACTCTTGAAAACTCGACGGCCAAGAATCCGAGTCGTTGGTGTGGGTGTAATTCGCAAATCTAGAAAACAATCTCTCTGACTCAGAACCCTCAATTGGGTTTTTACCAATGAGACCCAAATCGCTGTTCTCGTTGAAATTTGCAAGCAGTGAGCTCGGAGCAGAGCGAAATCTCAGTAACCCAGAATTGGGTTGGTGAGTTTGGTGCTCTTGGGAGTGCAAGTTCTGATTCCTATTTGAATCCATGAATTGTGGTTGCTCTGTTTGCCACTGTGCGATTTGAATTAATGGGCTCGTGCCAGAATTTGATGCTGGAGGACCATTATACATACACTGCTCACGTAGCTTTTCCGAGAAAATTCTGGGAATTTTTTTTCTTCTTTTTTTGTTTCTTTCACTTTCTGGAGCAAAATTTCAGCTTAAATTTTAAGCAGAGTGGGATAAGATCTTGTAGAAGAAGCAACCGAATGGAAAAGCTAAGCTTGACCGAAGCGTAAGCCACAGAGACAGAAACCTTAGCTAGAAGATAAACAGGCCCGTAATTAAATGGAACCTCGAGGTCTGTGTTGTCTGTGGAAAACAGAGAGAGAAAGATGCAGAGGCTATTATGAAGCGAAGAGAGAGAGAGAGATTGACTGCAGCCTCAGATTAGCTTTTCATAGCACCGAAAGCTAGGAAGATCTTGAGCTGGAGAGAGAAGGAAAGGGGGAGAGAGAGAGAGCAGTGAATTTAACTTCTTCTTGCTTGTGATACGAGTTGGGATGCGGCCAATGGAAAAGTACAGAGAGCAATCGATCTCTCTAGTCGTAAGTCTCACTCTCACCACCTAAACGCTCCCTTTTTTGCTTCTTTTGCTAAATTGCCCTTTGCTACTTTTGTACATGGTACTTTCGGGTTTCCTCTTTTTACTATTTATGTGATCATTATCCTTTAGTTTACATACCTAGTGATTTTCAGTTTTAAATAACACACGCCAATAAAAGAAGCATTTGATTTAGAATATTGATTCCCAAAGTTAGGAAAACTAAAGTGCAACTGATATTGACTTCCACATTATAGGTCTAGCCCAATGAAAAACAATATTGATTTGTAGATTAGAGATCTCATGTTCGAAGCCATATGACATCTTGGTTTAGTATGTGTGAAAAACACTCATTCTGTGTAGTTTAGACTACTGCTCATTAAATAAATAAATAAACTGAAAATGCTATTCGAGTATTTATAATTTAGAATAACGATAAAATATGTCTTTTTCTTATAAATGTGTATATATTTTGAATAATTTCTTGTAACACATTATTTAATTTGTATTTTAACAACTTAGGTGACATATTGCTTACATATTTGCCTTATCGAAAAAGTTGGTCACTTCAAGTGACTTATTTCTTTTGGTCGAATAATGAATTTCATTCTAAAAACTCACCCGAAAAAAGTTGGCATACAAATACAACAAAACAAAGCAACCCAGTAAGGAAGCTCAAAAGTACTCCACAATACTAGAAAAATAGGGGCACCAAGACTATCCCAGATAATGATATCAACAAATCAACAAAATTTAAATTGATAAAAAATAATCGAATTGAAGACAAGATAACAATACAGCAACAAAAACAGAAAAACATGAACACCACAAATCTGCCACCATAAACCAACAACTCTCAAAACAGCTCTAAGGCAAAACAAACATAACCATGAAACAAGAAGAAGGTGGTGCAAGCACTCAAGCCGTGATAGTGCCGGAGCTCTACGCATCTTCCAAGATATATGCGAGAAATTGCTTTTCGGATTATCAACTATAACCAAAAGATGAAGCCAATTCGAGAGGAGAGAAGAGAGGGTCATAGTGATGGACGTCACCAAATTGAGAAGTCATAAATCCACCATATTCGAACTCATCGACGCATCTAGAGGAGAGCATGAACCAATTGGAGGACAACTAAGGGACAACATTGAGAGGATTGGAATGGTGAAGATTATGCGGCGCTGGATGTGGAGGTATCTATTTTTGCTAGGTTAGGGGGGTGAAATACACATTCTTTTGGTCACTTCAAGTGACTAGGCAATACCACAATGTATAGGGGGTGAAATAGACATTATAATGACATCATTAGTAATCATTGTATTTGTTATTTGCCTTCCAAATATATAAAAATAAGAACAATAATACTGCTAATAGTAACAATGATAATAATTGACCGTCCGTCGACTTCATAAACAATTAAACAGATTTTTATATTTTCTTACATCATGTAAAAGGAGACTTCAAATTTCATACCCTAAATTGAACAATAATTGAGAAATTCTTCCACTATGAAGAACTTTTGAGATAAATATGACGTCAATTTCGAATGTGTACGGATTAGGGTTTGGTGTAAAATAGTTGACATCATGGAGAGAAATAAGAGAGAAATAATTATTCGGATTATATATATATATATATATATATAATTTGCTAAATAGTGCCTGAAGAATAGTGTCAAGTTGTGGTGAGAGCTATGGCAGCGAACGATGGCTGGTGGCGAGGATAAGAAGGGCATAACTTCTGGTACGCTGTGAAGTCATCCTTCGTCCCGTGAGCATCAGATTCAGGCTGCATCTGATTCTTCTCGTCGTTTTCTGGCTTTGGCTTTTGCCTCTAAAACCCCAGACGCCGCCTTTCCAAAGAACCTCTCTTGTCTGTTAAATCCATGTTCTTTCTTTCTTCATTTGGTTTTGTCGTTGGCTTAAAAAATTATAGGGTTTTTTTATGTAGCAATGGACCTTGAACTATACTCGTAGTTACATTTTGATCATTCAACTCTAAAAATAGCTGCAGAGGTCCCCCAATTATGTATGGTGTTGCATTACTAGTCCTTTTTGTTAAGTCTGTCTATTTTTTCTTTAAATCCATGGGTAAACTTGGAAATTCATTCCAAATATTTATAAAAACGAAATAACAAAAAATAAATAAATAAGGGTTATTTGTAACAAGGGTCCCTCAACTATAGTCGGAGTGACCTCTGTAATTATTTGTAGCATTGGTCCTACAATTAAGGACTAATCGTGCAACACAACACCTAATTGAGTGACCTCTGTAATTATTTTTGGAGTTGAGTGACCAAAATATAACTAAGAGTACAGTTGGGAGACCATTGCTACAAAAAATTCAAAATTATAATTATAATTATAATTTTTTTTTCTTGGGGTCGTAATTTGGAATATTTTCTGCATTGTTGTCGACCAAAACCTACTACTATATAATTAGAGAAAGAGCATTACTAAAGAAAAAATCAAAGGAGAATTTATTCTTCTGTGTGTCTAATCTAATGACGACATGAGCATAAACCATTGAATATATATGAATTTTAGTTTTTTTTGTTGAAAAAGCCAAGATACTAGAAGATAGAGCATCTTAGTAAAATTTCAGACAAAAAAAGAATTTTTTATTTATTTATAATAATTTGGCTGTTCTTTTGTTTTCACGAATGATTTTTTGAAGGCACGTAAAAGTACATGATTTGGATTATAAAATCACTTTGTGACACGGAGAAGATCTTACATGTAACGGGAATGTCACTGTGTAGATATCCAAGTCTATCATGCATTGTTAAAACACATAACAATGGCTGATTGGCTCAGGATAGCGCCACCGTGATATCTTCAATATAGGTAAGTTTTTCTTTGTGACATGGGAAAAAAAATGGGCCTTCCACAACTGGACCCATTCTAACATGACATATTATATACGAGAAATTCCTTAGAGCTTATTTGGAAAGAAAAACTCAAAAATAGTCACTTGTCATTTTCTAAATGACTAATTGGTTCTCATAAAATTTTAACACACTAAGAACCATAAGAAAATGACAAGTGGCCAACTTTGGGTTTTCTCTCCAAATAGACTCTATATGAGTTTTTGTATAATATGTCATGCTAAAATGAGCTTTTGAATAAATATCTACAAAACAATAGTTTTTGTGCCATATTAAGTCACTGAGTGATGTGGATATGAAAGTTTCCATTGTTGTACATATAACTAATTTGGATCAATTACGTTTTGCATCTCTGTGGCTTGAGGTGAGTGCGAGTTGGTTCATGGCCTCTAAAAACTAACAAAACCAGCCCCTAAAGTTACAAATAGTATAATCAACATTATGCATTGATAAAAAGTTTAAAGTAATGCTAGAAAGATCATATTTGTTCAAAGAAAAAAAAGTATCATTACATTAAGAAATGAATGATATTATTATTTTATTTTATTGATTACAAAATAACTCACGAACTATTAGCGTATAAGAACAAAAACAAGGACACAACCCCAAAATTTATATTAGGGTTAGTCATTTATTCTCTTAAACAAAACAAAAAAATAAGGGCAAAAAATTTTCATTCATCTCAATCCCATGCACCAAAATAAGTTAGTGTGTTATATCACTAACATTTCTTAGTGCATGTACATCCCAGCCTGAAGCCAGGACATTTGCCTCCCATGAAGCCCTCTTTTTGGCAAGCATCTGCACAACTGCTTGATCGGAAGCAAAATCCCTTGAATTTCGTGCTCAGAGACTCACAAGTCCTTGACGTCTCCTTTGTTGCGACCTTGCCCTCAGCAACCATTGGACCCGTCCCTGCCAAAGATTCATCGATAAAAATTAATGAGAGAAGATGGATTCAAACTTGAAAAATCTTTCAACATTGGAAAGAAATATACCACTAATCAAATATAAAGATGAAATTAAAATGAGGAAACAGAGAGATACCAATAGCCACAAGGAGCAGGACGAGAATGAAGATAGTTGAAAACATACGTTTGGATCCCTCCATCTTGATTTTTGTGTATGCGTACATGCACGCGTGTGAAACAAAAAGAAAGACAGACAGAGGGATGTTGAATGTTGATTCAAGATGCCTTGATTCAAAGGTGAACCTTCCAAGGCCTTTTATATAGAGTTGTTATGAAGCAAATTAAGTGCATTTCCGTAAAAGGCGGTACACTGGTGAAAAATAGAGAGTGGATGGAAATTTAACCTTTGTTATTATTACCTAACACTTAATTAGCCCATTTTATGCGGACATGGATGATAAACCTGAATTAACATGTCATATGGACAACAAATAAGAACTTATAGAAAATCTTTAACCTTCTATTTAACCTTTTTTGTTGTTGGACAGATTCTATTTAACCTTCTAGTATAGGTGATGTGTCAACTCTTCATTTTTTAGATGGATATGTCAACTCTTTAATCGTTTGTAATTTGACGCACAAAGGG